TTCTTTTTTAGAATTACACAATGAATCTAGAATGTTAATCATTACAGTATTTGGAAATTCCAAATTTGGAAATCTCCTTGACTGAATTATGTCATAAAATAAGTTAAAAATAGAAATGATGTAATGATATACACGTGTAACACGACGTGCAACCGTTGCAATAAATATAGAAATATGATTGTTAATCATGATGTAATATTCAGCGCATCACATGACTTCCGTAGTAAGTTCGGTCTAATTGGTCAATATTAACGGTCAATTGGTTGGTCCACGGTTTGCAATCTCACAATACAATATTCATTATAATAATTAAATAAAAATTTCTAAAAAATGTGTGAACGCGGTTTGCGTAACGTTACACCCTCCCGCTGAATTTTACACACTGCTTGGGATAATTCTCCCAGTCTCTCCCAATCTGGGATAATTTACATTAATTTCTACTAAATAAAGATTTAATGCTAACGTGTGTTACGAATTAATTAAATCTGCGGAATGTAACACGAGCTCATATAATTAATTAAATCATTCGGAAAATTAATACAAATAAAAATAGAATATAATAAAATTAAAATAAATAATATATAAAATAAATAGCTAAAAATAAGTGATAGATAACTAAAAATAAGAAATAAATATAAATAAATAATAAAATAGTATAGATAATATTACTCCAGATTTTCGGGGTCATTGATCAGCGAATTAAGGTCAAATTCGCATTCTGGTGACAATATCATTGATATCTCATTTAATTCAAAAAAATTGATAATAAAAATAATCAATTAATATTATTTATGCTCTCTGATCATGGCTAAGTTATTCACTTTACCCATTGAATATATACATACATAAAAATTGGTAATAATTCATAAAACAATAAATATATAAATTTATATATATATATATATATAATTTTAAGTAATCCTTACATGTAAATGTTTGTAAATTTAGATAAAAGCAAACCTATGGCATATTCATTAATAGACAACTAGAAGTTTGTTCTATATATTCTTATGGTTACTATTAATAAGAAATTTTTGTATAGTTGGTTAACAAAATTACTTTTTTAAACCAATACATTTGAGATCCAGAACTTACTATAAAGATCTAAGAAACTAGAAGTTCTGTTCTATTTATTCCTATGGTTATTAAGAAGAATTTTTGTATGAAGTTACAAGAAAGGATAAAGGATTCTATTGAAATAACTTTGAATGTGAACTTAAATAACAAATTTTCTTCAACTAATAATCTTTTGTATCTTGTAAATTTTGCAGTGATCCTAAGTAGGGATGGGAGTTTGGTTTGGTTTGGTTTCGCAGAAGTTGTCTGATTGGCTAATTTTGCTGATCAAATTCAATTGAGTTTGCATATTACAGTCAGGATTATTACCAAATATGGAATTTCCAAATACTGTAAGGATAGACAATCTAGAAATCTTTTAGAAA